ACTCTCAGCTGAATGTCTTGCAAGAAAGAAAAACAAACAATACAATACGCAACAAAAATTGAAGGAACGAAATGAATAAAGAAATGGAATAAATACAGTAAATGGATTGGATTGGATTGGATTGGATTGGATTGAAATGAAATGAAACTCTTCAAATACTAACAATCCTTCAAGGCAACATCTCTTTGTATTCAATTTGGCATACATCACTTCAGTGATTCTTCAGCGCACGTCAACCCGGTGAAGGGGCCTTCCGCAAGGACACCACCTTCAAGCCGGTCTGGTCCGTCTGGCCCGTCTGGCTGCCTTCTTTGCCCTTCGGTTGGACACTTGGCTCTGCGACCTTCTCAGGCTCGTTGGGCTCTGCCTTCACCTGATGAAACCGAGGCTTTCACCATGGCTTCACCGAAGCCAGCAAAGCACGGAAACCCAACAGCTTGCAACAAAACAGCCCAAACCCATCCGAACACCATGCAGAAACACCCAAATCCACACCAAACCAAAAAACAAAAACAGAAAACAACACGAAACGAACCACTCCAAGCTGAACCCAACGAAACACTCCATAATCACCTCCATCCCCACCTTCTGAGGCAGGATCGCCGCCTTCCCAGCCGAGCCCTGTGCCGAGACCGGCCGCGCGCCGCCGGCGCCGCCCGCGGCGCCCGTGGGGCGGCTGAAGACGGTCTGCGGTCGCAGGATGGGCCGAACCGGGCGCAGGATGGGCCTCGCGACGCAAAAAGACTTATCACAAAGTCTCTTGTAGCAGAGTCCTTTTTCGAGATGTTTTTGGATCTTCCGCCTGGCCACTGCTTTGATGGGAACTGGCCCAGTGCCTTGGAGGTTCTGAACGAAATTGTGAGTCGTGTTGATTCAGGAACGACTTCAGATGATCTGTCCCACCTGCAGATGTCGCACTCCGCAAATTGCACGCGTTTGGGGAACACATATCACATGCACGTGATTGCGTCCGACTCAGGCCCTTACCACGCTGAGCCCAGGCTGGCCTGATGCGCGACAGGGGTGTGTGTGTGTGTGTGTGTCCACCCCTGGAAAAAGGGCTCCTTTCACCATTTCCATCAAGCAGGGGATGGAGACACCTGTATTGCTTCTCCATCAACGAAGCTGGCAATACATGGTGAGGATATCAGTTCCGGACGCGGAACTGACGTACCTGCTTTCAACACAATGACTCCACTGGTCCACCCTGCCGCTGTTCGTTGTTTTCATGGTCCTTCATGCTACCACCCCCAAACCCACCGCAGCCTTACAGCCGACTTGCAGCCGCGCTGAGTGTCCGATCGTCTTTTCGAGTGCCACTGCAAACAAAGTTAAACCATACTGTTTTCACTGACCTTTGCGCCCTGCGGTTCTTCGCCTTTCTTACCAACGTGATACTTGCATTAACTGAAAATCCAAGTTCGAAGTGTGTAACCCTTTGAGTCACAAGGAATCCGTTGATTTGTGGTTGTTAACTTTAGATGTAGGCAGGGGGCTTTCGGAGCCTGCATGAGACGAGAGCCGACGAAGACGCTCACGCAGTGCTTGTGCAAACGTACCTGCTATTGACCGCGCCTGGGCATCCAAGTGCAGCTGGTGGGTCACGCGCCGTTATTGTCCCTGCCTGTAATTGGAATAAGTCTTCCAGCCATTGCAGCGGCTCACCATTTTGCAGATGAGTACGATCGCCGTCATTTCACCCTGCTCGTCGCACCGCTACCTTTTGGGCTTTGGACCTCTTGGCCTCCTTTGACTGAAGATGCTCACACCCCCCTTGCATGGTTTCTCAGCAATATGGTTACCTAGGTTGCCGCGTGGCGAGTGGCATTCAGCTCAGCGCATTTTCTCAAGTGCGCGTGAAAGCCCAGGTTGTACCCGAGGAGTGTCGCCTGTGGCCCCGTTGAACGGGGTTTGTCTCGGTTCCCCCATCTTGAGAACGTACGCGTCCGCAGCGGACGGACTAAATGCACTTCCATCATTTTTTAGCGCCCAACTCAGTCTACATCCATCTCCAACACCTCCACAACCTCACTGCCAGACTCCTCCGCCAGCTTCAAGAATACCTAGGCGACCAAGTGGTACTACACCATGCAGACCACGAACTCCAGCAACTCCGCATTTTCTGCTTCCAGCAATACTTCCACGGCGCCCTCACCACCTGGCAGTCACCGGAACTTTTCCAACCCATGCTCCACCTCACACCTGACAATCTTACCGATCATCTTCAGGCCACCATCCCAGCCACCCTGCGCACACGATACAAGCGGGGCTCCCGCAAAGCCCGCAAAGCCTTCGCGATCCCTTATGGCATCGTCCACCTCAAGGAGAAGAAACAGTGGCGCAAGGGGCGTGCCATTATTTCCTACTACCACTCCCTGGCAGGCAACCTTTTCCGGATCACCACGAGCCGAGCCCTTGACATCATCCTCCAACATCTTTACCCCCAACACCGGGACAACTCTCCATTCCACGGCTCTTGGCAAATGTTCCACCAGACATTGCCTTATACGCAACCAACGATGACCTGGTCGGTTTCTTCAACTCAGTGCCGCAACACCGTCTCATTGACGCGGTACACAGCCTCATCCACCATTGGCAGCAACAACATTCCACAGAGACCCTCACCATCGACCTTGTCGCCACAGGAAAGCCTTTTCACAATTCCAATATTGGACGACATCATCGCCAACACCCCACCCAACGCACTCTTCACGTCACCGACATTCCCACCATCGTGTCCTTTGCTTTGGACACCTGCATTTTCCGGGCCGGCATCCACACTTACAAGCAAATTCGTGGCGCTGGGATTGGCTCCCAGCTGTCACAGGCCCTCTGCAACGTTACCATCACCCTCATTGAGCATGCTTGGCACCAACTACACAACAATCTCCTCAACCACACCCATCTCCACTTCACCTACTACCGCTATGTGGACAATCGCTTCATCACCCACAACGAACACTTTTTACACCACCCAGCCATCCAAACCCTCATACACCAAGACTTTTTCGGTGACCCAGTCGAGCTCGAACCTGCGGATGATTGCCATCTTCTCGGCTTCAACATTGACCTCACCACCCGTACAATCACGTATGTTCAACCCTCCCACCCATGGAAGATCCGTGATGCTACTTCCGCCGGTAGCCAGCGCTTGTGCCTTTCCGGCCTAGCATCAGAATCCATACAATACACAAGTACACCTACCCTCCATCCGCAGCCACCACAGCAGTCCACCACCTCATCAACCTCTACCTGGCCAAGGGGCACCCGGCAGACGCCTGCCGACGGTTTTGAAAGGAAAACAGTCTCTTGCTAGCGCGCACCGCAATGCGGCGATTTGTGTGTGTGTGTGTCCCACCCTGCGCCTAACGGTTTTTTTTCAAAGCAAGGGGTGGCAAGAACGAGAGTCTGCCACCAACGAAGACACTCTCGGTTTCCTGGTGATACTGGGACTGATCATCCCAGCGTACCTGCCTCGAACACAATGACACCACTGGTCCGCCCTCCGCTGTCTTTTTTGCTTCCGTGGTGTTTTTTCATGATAAACCTCCAAACCACTTTCCCGCAGATTTGCAGCCGCTTTGCAGCAGATTTTGCGCGATTGAAAAAATTTGTTCAGACATCTTCAAGCGCACGGACTTCTCACCTTACCGTTCCAGCATTCATTTCTACGTGGACTCTCTCACTGAATGAAACCTATCGAAGTGTGTGTTCATCTCAGGATGGTAAGGTGTGGATTTGTGGATTTGCAGCTTGGCACAGAAAACCACGTTGGTATACAGAAGTTCTTGTCTTCTCGAAGCCTGTGGGTGTCCAATGTTTACAAGTGTGCACCGCTGCACGAATTCCAAGTAAACACCAGGTTGTTGTACGCTGTTGTACCACCCAATTATCAGTTGACCAGGGATGGTCACCCGCCGATGCCGAAGTCCTTGGATGTCACGAAATCGCACACGTCCGTTTCGGCCGACGCCTGGGTGGCGTGAAGCCCGGACGATTCAGAACCATCGCTGACGGTGCAGTGTCTCCTCCCGTGTTTCGGTCCGTCAAAATGGCTAGCCGCTGGCCATGAAGGCAGCAAACATTCGATGCTGTTCACCACAGCTTCATCAAATGGACTACGCATGTCTGACAAACCAAAATGCTCGGTTCGCTGGTGAGTGTTCGCTGAGTGTGGCGATTCAGCGATACGGCTCATGGGTCTTCGAACTTTCATGAATTGAAACGAAAAAGTCCGACCGTGAGACTAGAAACTGCGGTGAGCCGAGAAGGCGTCCGGAGCGCGCGGCTCGTCCAAAAGTCGGTTTGTGGCACTCAGGGCATCGATGTCGCTCTAAAGACTCTAAAGGGATCAAAGAGACTCTTCGAGGTTTCAAGGTTCCGAGCAGCCAAACCTTAGACCTTAGCAGCAGAGATTGGATGAAAAGGCCGCGATGTCAGAACCCCACCTCGTGGCTCTCTCGGCCTGAAAGCGGACCCGGACGCCCGACCCCAACGGATCAACGGGATCCGGGGTCGTCCGGATCCTAGGAGCCCTGCCCCGTTAGCGTTCTCCTCGATGACGCGGTTGGTACTTGGGAATCATTGAGGGCGGCATCAGATTGCAAGTTTAGACCAACTGCAATCAGTACTCAGATGACAGCATAAGATCTCCTTGGCACTCAAAAAGCATCTGAAGAGGACTGCGAATCGGTGTTCACATGTTCGCAATCTAGTGCTTTTAGGCCAAAAGGCTGAATGACAAGTCTGGAGAAGCAATCACAAAAGGGAAAGGGCTTTCCGCCCAGACAACATTCAAGGAACTAAAATTGAAGTTTAGGAGCTGTACAACTTCAAAGAGGAGACTTCCTCACAAGCTGTGAAAAGAGAATGTCCCAGTTGTGAAAGTTCCATTTAATGTATTTTAATTCTAATTTGTTACTACTAGCGTGGCACTTGTTACTACTAGCAAGGATGTCTGTTTCAAAGCGAAAACCATCATTGAATTCGCCCTTCCTTTCCCCCGCCTCCCTGGCGCTCAGTCTGACGTGACCGGCGACTGGGCACGTGGGCAGATGTTTATTGGTCTCATAACGGCTGGCCTCCAACCTAATAGCGATGGCCTCCACCCTAGTACCGATGGCCTCCACCCTAATAGCGGTCAATGAAAATGAAGGATCGTTCTTTGGATGATCATCCAAGAATCTTGTTCAGACCCATTCTGTGACAAAGTGACAAAGCCAGAGTGCGCCTCATGCATAGGAGGCATCTCAACGTGAAGACCACCTGCATCGGGTACAAGAGGAAATTGCATCTTCTCAATTTTAAGGCACAATTGGTGTTCTCGTGACTTTGAAAGGGAATTCACTGAAAGGCAACACCTTCTTTTTTAGCCAGCTCCTACTTAATTCAGTAGGCGCCTATTTAATTAAGGAAGGGGCAACTAGTTCGCTTCGGACGCAGGACAGCTCACGCTCGCACTAATGATTTGGCTTCTAGATTTCTGGGGTGACCACAGCAGGTTTCTTGTTACTAGTGGCAAAAATGTTACTAGTAGTAGTGCCCTTAGTAGCTTCTTGCTCCTAGTAGTAAGGCCAGGAGCGCCCCTAGTACCGTCCTTGCTACTAGTAGCGATGCCCTTTGCTACGAACGTAGCTATCGGGTGACCACATCAGGCCCGTATGATGCACGAATGATGCACTCCCAGCCACTGCCGAGCAGCACGCCCCGATGCAACGGCACCTCGTACCGGTGACACGACGGCACCGCCGAATCAAGCCGACTCAAAACATCACTCGCCTTGCCCCCAAAAGATCATTCACTACACAAACCGTCAGACTTCAGTGTCAAGGCTCTACTTATCTCACAGTGCCACAATCTCAATGCACCTGAGACCGTGGG